TGAGTGGCCACATTGCTACCTCCTTCTCAGAGTAAGAAGCAGAAAATGCAAAACAAGGACCAATGATTTGGAGACAAATTTGTGCAGCAGCAAAAATATCACTATTTCCCAGTACAGGCCCACCACTCCCCCTGAAGGACAGTAACAATTACAAATAATAATCATGCATTATCTCATGATCTAGCCACTGCCACTCCATAAGGTCGACTCTCACATTCTTATTTTTCTGTCCAGGAGACTGTGGTCAGAGACCAGTCAGGAAACAGAAACTATTACAACAGAGATCATTCAGTACAGAAGTGGCTCATATTCAAGACAGAAAAACCCAGGATCCAAATGGGACAATGAGGCCACCCAAAGGTTGGCCACATTGGGAAGCCATTGCTACCGGGGGCTGAAAGTCAGAGGGAAAAGTGGGCAGGCCCACAGGAAGCTGCTCTGTAGAGAGAGGAATTGGCCAGTGGGAGCTTGGTCTATGGAAGACACCACCATAGCCAGAGGTGTCACTGTGATACTGTGCTCCTCTCCTCTCCCTGCCCTCCTACATTCCCCCAGGGGCCTCACTGCCAGGACCTACAGGAAGCCAGCTGGCAAGGAAGCCTGGGAAATGTAGTTCCCTGAGATACAGAACTGGGAAGGGCAAGAAATGGATGCTAATGAGTAACCCATTGCTCATGGTGCCACAGCTATTATTCTACAGAGCCAGGTAAGGAAATGACCTGAATCCACCAATTTGTGGCATGGAAGAAGCAACAGGAGAGATTGGAGGTAGCCCAGAGTGGCAAACGGTGGGACTAAGATTGGTTTAGGAGCCATTTCCCTGTCCTGAATATCACACAGAGAAGCAGGAAGGGAGTTGTGCACCCTGGCACCACCACCTCTTAATAGGAAGTTACTGAGCCTGTCCCTTTGTCCACTCATTCAACACCCACTGAGTCTGGAGGGTGTGGAGATGCAAAATGAAAAATAATGTTTCAAGGACTAAAGAGAATCTAATCTTCACTCCTCTTCAAGTTCCTATCCAATGCAAAATAGACAAAAAGACAAAGGATAGGTCAATAAATTAGTTCTGCAAGGAAAAGGCAAGACAGTGAGGGACTCACATGGCCTAAAGCCCATGCAGTGGACTTGACCCTGGTCAACATGCTGCCATCACTCCCCATTCTCAGTCTCTCCAATCAGAGGAGTCCCTCCTCCTCTTCCTAAGGGAAAGAGCAAGCGAGGATCATGACAGAGGAAAAGATTCTCCTGCAAAAACTTTCCTTGCCTTAGAGGTCGAAGATGTGGCTATCTTGAGATGTATGAGGAAAAGGAGCCAGGAAGGATATGTGTAAAACACCACACTCAAAGCAGATGGCCCATGCACACCCCTATCATCACTCGTACCTGAGGGACCAAGGTGTCAGTGTGCAATCTCAAGCCACATTTAGTGTATCCCCAACTTGTCCACAAAGGGTAGCTCAGAGCAGGGCTAAGGAATCACAAAGACTTCGGTGAAAATCTAGCTTCCTTCTGCACTAGCTAAGGGGTTTGGAAAATTATTCTCACATGACCCTCAGTTTCCTCACTAGTAGAATGAGACTAGTACCTACCTCATCCAAGGTCTTAGTCCAGATTCCTGTGCAAACAGTTGGACGCGAAAGCTTACATATTAACATTGAATCATCAGAATCGAAAACTTTATGCTTCTAAGGGCACCACTGATAAAGTGAAAAGATGAGCCACAAGACTGAAGAAAAATTTTGCAAATCACATATTTGATTCTTATACTAGAATACAAGTAATATTAGAATTCAGTAACAAAAAACACCATTAAAAAATAGGCAAAGGCAATGAATAGACATTTCACCCAAGAGCTATGCAAATAGCCAATACGCACATGAAAAGATGCTCAGTGTGACCATTCTGAGGGAAATACAGAGCAGAACCACAAGGAGGTAGCACTTCATACCCACTAGGATGGCAGTAATAAAAGACAGACAGGAACCAGTGCAGGCCTGGAGCACAGAAAACCTGGACCTACCATACACTGTTGGTGGGAAAGAAAACAGGCATCACTACTTTGGAAAACAGCACACAATTGCTAAAATGGTTAAATGCAGAGTTACTATGAGAACAATCCAACAATTTTACTCATAGGCATATACCTAAGGGAAATGAAAACAAACACATATGTCCAAATTTGTACATGAATGTTCACAGGAGCATAATTCATAATGGCTAAAAAAAAGAATTCAAATGTCTCATAAATTGACAAATGGACAAATGTGAGAGATCCATACAATGGAATATTATTTTGCAATAAAAAGGAAGTATCCATACATGCTACAGCATGGATGAACCTTATTATTTTCCTATCATGTTTTGATGTAAAATTAGAGATGAGTAATAAGAGTAATACCCAATATTTCCTGAGCACTTCTATGTGCCAGTCTCTTTGCATTTGTTTAATCCTTGGAGATCATTAACATTATTGTCCTCAAGGTTGTACAGTAAATAGGTGGAAGAACTACATTTAAATCCAGGCAATCTTCCTCTGAGCCCCCCATTACATTACCCTGATGGGGCTGGAGAGCGCATTCAAGCCAAAAGCTCCAAAGAAAACGTCGGTAATTGTTCAATGGAACAGACCATACATCATGGGCTCCTTTGTATGTACTCTGCAGCCCTGTGACATGCAACTCTATTCCAGAAGCTGTGCACACTCTCAGCTTCTAGGAATGTGCAGGCTGACCTCCCAGCAGGAGAGAGACCATTGGCAGAGCGAGCAGGAGCCATGATCCAGAACACAGCTGGAATGACCACCTAGGGACAAGCACTCTTCACGCAAGCTTGGGTTGAGGGAAACCTCAGTAAGCCAGGCCTCGAGTGACACAAATCAGGTAAACTCCCTAAGAGACTTCAGCAATAACAATCTATGAGGGCAAAATTGATCCAAAGCATGGTGGATTTCTCTAGATTGCGTTCAAGAATAGTTCAAAGGACTTCACAACGAATCTAAACAAAGTTAAAATTGTCTGTGCTACAATTGCTCTCTAAAGCCCACCTTAATCTTCTTATTCCCACTACTCTACTGAAGCTGCTTGCCAGGACCACAATGACCTAGTCATGGCAGAATCCAGGGGTCAGGCTTTGGTCTTCATTATCTCACTTCTTGGCAACATTCAACATTGCCGCTTGCTATCTGCTTGTTACACTTTCTTCACTTTACTTCCACTGCATTCTTACTCTTTTGCCTTACTGGTTGTTCCTCCTCAGTAACTCTTATGGTTTGGATATAACTTGTGTCCTCCAAGGGTTCACGTGTTGAAACTTAACCCCCATCACCAGGTGAAAGCCTGTCAACCTCCAGAACTGTGAGCAAAAAAATCCTCTTTTCTTTATTATGTTATCCAGCCTCGGGTATTTCATTAGAATAGTACAAAAGAGACTAACACAGTGTCCTCTGTTAATATGTTTGTGTCCTTCCTAATCTGTTCATTTTAGAGAACTCATGTTCTCTTTCTTCCTTATTGCCACGTATGTTTATTTCCTCTCTGCCCAAAGCCACCCTTTGCTCTGTGGTAAGTGAACTGGAAGCACTTGTCCTGCATAGTTAACATGAGGTTCAGTTTTGTCAATAGAGACACCACAAAAATCAGTTATTAGGTTTTGTTACTAAATCAAATGTGAAGTACCACTTCTCCTGAAATTGTGCATCCTCAGCAAGTCCTTTAAACTGTAGACCTGTTTCTTCATTTGAAAAATGAAAACCATCCATCCTAGATATTCTTAGGATGAGACAGGGTGCTGAACATGTGAGGGATTAGGTAGCTTGTGCAGGTGATACCAACAGCTAGGTTTGTGTCCCAGTTCCAGCTGTGTTGCACTCCAGCTGGAAGACTGAATGATCAGTCCTTTCTTCGTGGGGGAGCCCATCTCCTTTACTGTAAGACCTGGATACAACTGCCCTCAAGTATAGTGACAATAATTCTTAAAAACCCATCAAAAAGTTACAGGAATTACCATAAGACCAAGCAAGGTCACCCCTGGGTATTTATCTGAAGGAACCAAAACCTGCCATGTAAATACTGGTACATGAATGTTCACAACAAACAGTGAAAAGGGAAAACAGCCCAAGGTCTAGCAACAGCTCAATGAGTAAACAAAATTAGTTTATACATGTAATGGAAGATCCTCCAGTTACAAAAGGAAAAAAGTACCCACGCATGCTACAACATGGAGGAACGTTAAGAACATTAGACTAAGGGAAAGGAGCCAGACATAAAAGGTCATCTATTGCATGATTTCATTTATATGGCGTACCCAAAGAAATAACTTCTTAGAAACAGAATGCAGATTGGTGGTTGCCAAAAGCCAGTGAAGTGGGGTGGGAGGATAGAGAGGAACTGCTGAAAGGGCACTGGATTTTATTTTGCAGCAATGAAAATATTTGGAGCAATGAAATACATGGCAGTTATACAACACTGAGAATGTGTAAATGCCAATCTCTGGACGGCTAATCTCCAAATGCTTACTTTTATGTGAATTTTACCTCTCCAAAAAAAAGAGGAAAACAGAAACAGGGAGGGGGCAGGGGAGAAAGAAAGCACATAAATATAATAGAAGCCTTTATAAAGAGCAGGGGTCTGGTGACCGGGTTCTGGGATTAGTCCTGTCACTTACTGACACCAGTAAGGGTAACTGTCTCTCCAGGCCTCGGCTTTCTGATCTGTAAAAGGACCAGGTTAGATTACATCACAGGTTCTCAAGCAGAAGGGCCCAAGCTAGTCACACGGAGAGCAGCTCGTAGACACACACAGCCGTCTCCCTACTCTCAGTCTGATGTGCCCAGGACAGGCTCAGGCCTGTGTTACTTGTGGAAAACACTCATTTCAGAGTTTACTCCACACACACTTTGGAAACACTAGATGAACAGCCCTCCAGCAGCCCATGATTATGTTGCACGCATTTAAAACTACCGTATGCAAGACGGGGTTTGGTTAAAGAAGACAACACAATAAGTGAAGTGAATTTATTTAGAGAAAAAAAAAACACTCCACCAAGACTCACGAGTAGTTCTCTTGTACAGGTAGCTCCTGGCCGGGTTACAGTTGGCAACTGCACAAAAAAAGACACCACGGCACAGTCCACAGGATTTTGCTCACACCACAAAAAGAGTTTTAAGGCAGTTTAATTCAAGGCCACTAAAACTACATCTATGACACAAACACAGCATTTGAGGGTAACTTGGCCCTCAAAATGCCCCAGATACCGACAAATCACTGCACTAGTGAAGATCACAGCCGCTGTCGGGGGCAGATGAGTCTCCAGAGCGATCCAACACAGCATCAAAGCGGAAAGGCTGTTTGGAGACCTCCCCATGCGGTTTTGATGGTGCTACTGGAAATGCAGGCCTCTAATCACACCTGCTAGTTCACATAAACACATTACACTGTCCAAAACAGATGCACAGAGGAGACAGAAAACAGGACTCGCTACTTTAAACCACAAACAGGACTACAGGACACACAGGGCCAGACATGGGAGGGTGGAGACAGGTTAGCAACCCCTTTGGCAGGCTCCTCCTAGGCTTGGAGATGAAGTTAAAAATAAGCCGGGGTGAGCTCCGTCTTGCCTTCTGTGGTTACCACCTGGATCAGGCTTCCTGAGCTGGGTCGGTTTTTCCCTGTGATCCAGTCGTGGAAGGTTCTGGAACAAAGAAGAGATGCTTTACATTTCCAAAGCAAGTCTGCCCACATTCCCATCAGTGCCCAGGGGTCAGTGATGCAGCTGCGCAAGGCATCATGGCACAGAACCGAGTCCCCAGAGTTCCGGAAGTACCTTACCATTCTCATTTTTGAGTGGCTGATGTGCTATTAACTTCCATTTAGATACATTTATATAATAATTACACTCATCTTGGGGAACTGGCACGCATCATATCTGGATCATTTTTACTCCCCTTTTCAACTTTTTCCCCCTTTTAGCTTGCATTTTTATATTTTTCTCCCTGGTCAGGATTCTTCATAACACAGTAATATGATTTTAAGTGATTAAAAAGGACTTCATTAATTCTAGGAGATGGATACACAAAAGGGATGGCCCTCAGTATTGCAGGGGCTTGGTTCCAGGACCCGCAAGATACCAAAATCTAAGGGTGCTCCAGTCCCTGGTACAAAATGGTGCAGTGCTTGCATATAACCTATACATACTTTCCCATGTACTTCAAATCATCTCTAGATTGTAAATAAGGCCTACCATGATGTAAGCGCTATGCAAACAGTTGTGAGACTGTATTGCTTAAGGAATAATGACAAGCACATACGTGGTCAGGACACAAGCAATTTTTTTTCCAATTATTTTCAATCAAGGTCGGTTGAATCCAAGGATATTCAGAACCCTCAGAAGGCCAACTGTAAATTATAACTTCTCAGAAATTTAAAAAAGAGAAAGAGAGGAAATTTATTTTTTTAAATACACTTATGGGGCACCCATGGCTGTGCCAAACAGTGGAAAAAGAAATACAAGAAAACAAACTATTATAATAAAATGTGTTAAATACAGTAGTGGGAGTATGTAACAAGCAACTCTGTGTGGATAGCGGCAAAAAGGCCTGCTTAGAATAGCTGGAAGATCCTCTTCAGAAAGATAAAAACTGGGGCCGGGGATTTAGCTCAGTGGTTTCACCGCCTGCTATGCAAGCACAAGGACCTGAGCTCGATCCCCGGTACCAAAAAAAAAAGAAAGAAAGAAAAGAAAAAAAAGAAAGATAAAAACTGAAAAGAGCATCGGGAATTCACAAGGAACAGTTACAAGGAGATGATAATTTTTTAAAAGCTAAATATTTGAGTTCACCACCCAAATTTTGACAATTTACCACTGAGAATTCAGGCCCTTTTTGCCTGGAGCACTCTCAGGGATGTTGGGATACTCTGGAGGGCCAATCTGTGACTTCAAGGCTAGGTTTGGTGGTCACATATCAGTTGAGCCCCTTCTCCGAGGCTGCACAAGCCAAGGGAAGTGCATGGCTGGGAAGTCAAGGCATTGCTGAAACTCCCTGAAATATGTAAATGCATCATGAAGCAGCCCATCTCCAAGGCAGGGCAGAGCTTGGCTGGGTGGCTCTGAGAGATCAGTTTGGAGGTGTAGGGGCCTCTGTGATTGTCATGTTTATTTTAAATTAGTTCTCCTTTCCTCATCAGTAGTTTCATAGACATTCCAAAGTACACTGCACGCCAACTTCTCTGTTAAGTTTCAAATACCGAAAATGGGTGAGCATCACTTCTAGAACAACAGATGCCTGTAATGGCACAGACCTGCAGCCACACTGCCTGGGTCAGATCCCAGCTCTCCTGTGTGACCCGAGGCAGTTTACTCATCTTCCCCCCACACAAGGTCTCCAAGTCCCCAGGTTCTATAAGGAGAGTTTGCTATGAGCATCAAATATTAAGAAATGCTTAGAATGGTGCTTAACATGTGACAAGCGGTATACAGGCACTTGTTTCAAACTTAAAATACAAGTCCCAAATTTCCCCCAATTTAATTTAAATGAGATGATAACAGTAGACCTAAAGAACATCCCCAACTCTGTACAGCTATCAAAACAGCTAGTACACTGGCACTTCTGGGGAAGATCGTCTCCTCCATCTTCCTCCTCCATCTGCTGCAGGAGGGCAGGGACTGCAGCGTCGTGATCCCCAGGACCCTGGATCAAGAACAGCACCTGTACTCACTGGGTGCTCAGGAATAGACTTCCTAAGGAGAGGTCTGAGAAACCGCGAGGGAGCCAACACAAAACAGCACAGCAGCTTTCTCCTGTGAGCTTTCAAATGCCACCAGATTCACAAGCAGGTGAAGAGGACTTCAGAACCAAAGGCCACATGCCGCAGGGCCTCCTAGCTATTCTTATGGACCTCGGTATACAGAGAGTAAAACTGAGGCCTAGCGTAATTAAATAACATGCTCAGTTTGACAGGACAGTGAGCAGGGGAGCCAGGGCTCCTGTTGGCACTTTCAATCCTTCTGCTCTATTGCTCATCTCCAAGTCCAGCCACTCTGAGATTCAGATTGATGTGCCTTAAATCTTCCAAGACCCAGAAACCTCACAAGCCCACCCTTGCGTTATTGAGAACACAGGCTTGTCCCGGTGCACCATAAATGGCAGAGAATGGAGGCTGGAAGCTGCTTAGGCACTGAGAGTGCTATGATACTCACTCAACTAGGAATTCTAAGGGTGTCCAGGAGCTGAAGTCAGCTTCAGGCATTGATTTCCTGTTCATCGGGGTATCCAGGGTAACCCTGCAATAAACAGAGGTGAGCATGTCATTTGTGTACGGGCCCCTCCGCCAGGAAAATGCAAACATCCAGCATTACCACTGTGCACTTCAGGCACCAAGCACGACATTTACATGAGCGATCAGACAGAAGGATAACCACAGAGAGACCAGGAAGCTGTCTACATCAACAAGAATCACATCTGAGCAGAATTCAATCAGGCCCTTTGTGACTCAGCCTTTATAGAGATAAGCACAAAATGACAAGAGCTGTTTTTTGCCTCTATCTTAAACACAGCCTCTATTGAATTGCTTGTTCGGTAACACTGAAAGTCTTCAAGCACGCCCTAAAATGCACCAGGCTCATTTCCAAGGATTTAAGTCGAATAATATCCCTTTAAATATGAGAATATTAAAATGCCAAACTTTGAAATACATGGCTGCTGTCCATGAAACCTTAAGGTTTGTCAGCAAGAGAATGTAGAATTCAGATATGCTGAATCTCACACACTTCCAGGCCTTAGGGGTCATCTGAAATAGCTGTGGGGACAGCTCACAGAATCAGAGCCTCACAGCTGAAAGGGAACTGGAAAGTCAGTCTGCATAGTCTCTGAGGAGTCCCAGGGTCCCTTCACAGGACCAGAGGCAAGAGGCAAGCCAGTAGATCCAGGTGCTCTTCCCAGAGAAGGAACGCGCCTCCTCTCAGACGGCTGCCTCTGCCTGGGCCAGCTGGCGGGGACATCCTGATCACACACAGGAATGGGCCCCAGAGTCTCCGTATTCTCCCACATACCCAACCCCACACTGCCACCCAGGCCTGGCCCCAATACACACGCACACAGACGCACACACCCTCTGACCTGATAACAACATGGAAAACAGAAATACATATGGTAAAATAAAATGTGTAGACTATTTTTAAGGGAAGTAAAGAGAGAGAGAGGAAAGAAAGAAAAACAAAAGAGGCAAAAAAGGCAAATCCGTCCCACAAGCCAATCAACCATTCCAGACAAGAAGCATCACTAGGCGTGGAATGTGTCACCCAGCCAGATCACGCTGCAAACATAATCTGGGAGGTTCCAGGATTCTGTGATGTTAAGAGGTGGGGCCTTTTGGGAGGCCCAGGTCAGGAGGGCTCCACCCACGTGGGTGGGCTTAGCCCTTAGCGAAGAGGCTCAAGGGAGCCTTCTGCCCTTCACGGTGTGGAATCACACAGAAGGCATCGTCTATGAGGAAACAGCTCTCACCAGACACCAAATCTTCTGGTGCCTTGAACTTGGGATTTTCCATTCTCCAGAACCACGGGCAATAAATTTCTCTTCCTTCTAATCTACTTAGTCCATCTAAGGTATTTTATTATAGCAGCAGGAATAGATTAAGGCAAGTATCTTAAGGGACTCTGGTGAATTTTAGATTTGCAGGTGATGCACCCACAAGTTCCTGGTGGAAAGTGACTCTCAGACACACGCCAGCTCTCGGCAGTGGCAGGCAGAGGCGGGAGACCCCAAGCACCTACGGGAGCAAGGCGATGGCGGCGGCCCCAGGAGGCAGGCCACTGTTCTTCCCCGCGAGGCTCTGGCAGAGCTGGTGGACAGCACTCTTGGCCATGCCGTAGCCAATCATCCCTGTGAGACAGGAGGAAACAGCCCGGTTACCACTGGCTACTACAGTAACAGCAACAAAGTGACAGCAAGAACCTCCAGGCCTCTGAGCCTCTGTCGCCCCTTACAGTTTTCCCAACAGCTGGCTTGGCCGCCTCACCGATGATGCCAGGCTGGCAATAAGGAGCAACAGGAAGAGTCCTGGGCTTGAAATTCGGAGAACTGGGCCTCTCACTCCCGCTTTACCAAGGACTACAACAATCACAGATTCTCTGGGCCTGTAATCCCATGTAGAACAGGAACTGTAAAAGGTAACTCACATCTCAATTTATTTACAAGGCCACAATAAAGACCCAAGGAGATGGCATCTCACAAAGAGCCTTGGGAACCAGGAAGGAGCACATGGCATAGGGGCTGTTGATTGGTCAGATGGGGCAGGGGCCATGGCCTTCTTCAGAAGGCACCTGGCTCTGTCCCCTGCTGGGAGATGCTGTGCTGGTGGCTGCAGAAGAAAGGGAAAGGTGTTTTCCCACGCTCCCAGCCCACCACTCCAGCCCACCACCGTCATTCCTGCATAGTCCTCTCAGTATCAAGTAGGTATGTGCTGCCTGCTGGGAGCATTTCCTGTCTTATCAGCTAGAGGAAGTGGCGGCCATGCTTTCTCTGACACACTGTTACAATCCTAGCCTCGATATTACATAGTCCTCATTTAACGACCTACTTATTTAGTGACTTTTGACCCAGATGTACTGCTCTGACTCACGACCAGTCTCTTTTTGTACAGTTCTGTACATTTTGTTAATAGAGCCTCAATGTCTTTTTGGGGGTGCGGTGTGCCTTGTTTATACAGTACTGTAACTCTGGCTGATTATACTGTAGTTTTATGTTCTCTTACTACAGCACTGTATGCAAGAGTTATAGTAAAAGCAAAGTCATCAAGTTGGAGCTTCCTTTGACCATTTCTTTCTTCTGAATCTTATCATGTACATGCCATATACAATTCTTCACTTAGTAACCAAATCATTTAATGACTTAGTCACAGGAAGGGAACTTAGTTGTTAAACAAGGAGTATTTCTTGCTACCGTTGTGCCCACCTACCATGGTTCTGCTGCCTACAAAGCCAGGATCACAAGCGTAAGCTCAGCCTGGGCAACTTAAAAACTTAGCAAGACCCTGACTCAGAATAAAACAAAAAACATTTTAAATAATAAATAAAAAAGGCCAGGGATGTTACCCAAGGTGAAGGCCGTGGGCTCAATACCCAGCACCATACACACACACAGAAGTCAGAGCCTGGAAAGAAGTTGCCAGGATTCCCAGGTACCATCCCACCTGCCACTGGGGCCTGTGTACCTGTGAATTCAGTGTAGGAATACAAAGAAATGCTAGTGAGCTCCCTGGCTCCAAGGAGTCACACAGCACATGGGAAAGGGCCCAGGATGTAAGTTCAAGGCCGGGGCTGAAGACAGTAGTGATTCCGCACCACTGCAACTCAGGAGTCAGCAGCCCTCCAAGCCCCCACCTCTGCTAAATGCAATACCAAGGCCAGAGTCACAGGGTTCCCTGAAAACAATTCAGAATGTGGCATGAAAACATCTTGCAAATGCTAAGAGGCTCTTTCCTTCTCAGAAGAATGTCAGTTCCACAGGGGCAGGGATTTTAACTTCTGTCTACTAATCCAGCCCCAATCCAAAAGTGGCATTCAATAAATGCTGGAGGGGGCCAGGGATTTACCTCAGTGGTTCCAGCCTAGCTGGCCTCGCAAACGCAAGGTCCCGAGTTTGATCCCCAGTACCAAAAAAAGATAAAATAAAATAAATGCTGGAGGAAAGAGCAATAGGTGAGAGTGGAAAATGGGACTTAATCAAGGAGTGAGCCCACCAAAGACAAATGTTAAATTAAAAAACCAGACTAGGAAGCCAGGCCTGGTGGCACACCCCTACAATTCCAGCATTCTGGGAAAATTGCAAGTTCAAGCCCAGACAGGACAATTTAGCAAGACCCTGCCTCAAAATAAAATGAGAAAGCCTGGGCTGTAATTCAGTGCAAAGGCTCTGGGTACCAGAGTACGGAGTACGGAGTACGGAGTACCAGAAAAAAAAAATAATAGAAAAGAACAGACTGAGAACTTTGTTTCATTAAAACTTTGAAATTAGGGCTGGGGATTTAGCTCAGTGGTTCTGCCGTGCCTGCTTCGCAAGCATGAGGTCCCGAGTTTGATCCCCGGTACCAGAAAAATAAATAAATAACTGAAATTCTACCTAGTGATTCCTTGGTTTCTTAGTACTTCACACAAACTAACTTTGAAATAATAACTATTTAAATAAAAACAATAGCTTGTGCCTGCTTGGCAAGCACAAGGTCCCGAGTTCAATCCCCGGTACCAAAAAAACCCAATACATTGTCTTCTCACCTTTTTCCGTAAGTTCTATTTGTCAAATTCCTGGACCCCATTATATCAGCTCCTCTTACGGTTTTGATCTAGATGTCCTACAGGAGCCTCACGCGTTCACAGGTGGGGCTCTGGAAGTGACTGGATTATGGAACAACAGAGCTGGCTTGCTGTTAGGAGGTGCAGCCTGGCTGAAGCTGGGGCACTGGGGCTGTGGCCTGGAAAGGCAGCTCTCTTTCCTGGCTCCACTCTCTCTGCTTCCTGTCCTCACCACCGGTTCCCTCTGCACCCTCTTCTTCCCTGCCCCTCTGCCATGCTGGTCCAGCTTAGAGCCAGCAACTATGTACTAAACTGTAAGCCATCTCCTCCTGTAAGATGTGAGTGTGCTGTGACCCAGTGGTGAGACAGCAACTAAGACAGCTTCCTCCACAGAACCTCCTCAGAGGTGGAGCACTGCTCCCCTCTGCTCCCTGGGGGCATCTTGCCTAGACCTTAGACCCTAGACTTAGAACAGTCCCTGCACACGCACCACCTGCACCCCAACTGCCCCGGTAGGCACTCACTGCAGCGTCTGAGCAATCATCGGTAGCCTCCTGATGACACTCCACTGCTTCCTAGCCAAGGGTCAGAGACAAGTTCCCTAAAATCACTGAACTTTGGTTTTCTCATATGTAACCAAGAGACAACTGTACCTACTTTATAGGCACCTCTGGTGATGAAATGACATCAAAGCTGCAGAGAGCTTGATCCCATAAACCTAGCACGTGGGAGCCAGATGCCTACAACCACTGTACTTTTTAAAAACAAATTTCCTGAGGTATGATTGGTGTACAGTAAATTGTAAATATTCAAGGTGTACATTTGCACAAACTTTGGCACATGCATACGTGCCGCCTGTACATGTTCCTTTCCTCCCGCTATTCAGCATTTGTTGACTGAAGTGAGGGATGCTTTTCATCAGGGTGGGTCTGTCCGCCCTGCCAGCACATGGCTGAATGGGCTGTCACTCCTCTATGTTCCCCACTGCACCCAAATGCAGCTGCTCACTGGATGCTGCTACCACAGCAACAAAAAAGATTAATTATAGTAAACCTCTCTCCTCCTTGGGAAAGCCACTCTTCCTTCCAGAGACCGCCAGCCTCTTTAAGCCTCCAGCACCCCCGTGTCAAGGGTAATGGCTGAGGAGGCACCCCAAGTCCAGGAGTGGAATCACAGCCCTGCCCAGAAACCAATGGCTAACTCACTACAACAACTTCGAACTCCAGGAGGGTCAAGGACTCCAAAAGTTATTTAGGAGCCCAAAAAGAGTATTTCACCATCCTTGACTTATTTGTCTAATCAGAGGGCAGGAAGCCAACCTGGTATAAAAATACAACAAACTCAGCAAAGTCTCAGAGCTCTCTTTTCATTCCACACAAACAACAAAAGAGGAGGGAATCTGCAAAAGGAAAGAAACAAGCAACCAGCCACCCTACCAGCTTAATTCTACAGAACACCACCTTCGCTGGGTACACAATGTGGGTAAGAGATCACTTCAAAGATACGAAAACAGTCCCCATCACTAAGAAAATAAATACCTTCTTCTAAATTATAAAATGATCAGTGTGATTCCTGAAGAATGATTTCCATTCACAGCACAGATCATTAATGGCTAATCAACAGATCCTCAACATTTTGATATAGTTTGTTCTCCAGTAGACATTCCACAAATGTGGCCTTTGAAATGGGCAGGGGATGTTTACTCAGTATTTTCCCCAGTGAAAATGTTTCATTTCTGGACAATCTTGGGTTTGAGGAACTGACTACTCAGCCTGATTCATCATTTACTTTCAAAGTATAGATTTCCCCACATTTTAGGGGAATGTGAACCAAAGTTAAAAGATCTCATGACTCAAATTAATTTTTTTTTTTTTTTTGGTACCGGGGATCGAACTCCGGTCCTTGCGCTTGTGCAGCAGGCGGCAAAACCACTGAGCTAAATCCCCGGCCAGACTCAAATTAATTTAACAGCATCTAACCTAAGAGTTTCAAGATGAACAAGCTTATTATCCAAAAGAGGAGTTGAGAGGCAAAAGTAAGCCTGAAGCATATACTAACAGTTCACATTTGCTACTAATTCTCTGTAACAACTTCCAGAACCATTTAGATCCATTAAGATATGTACAAGTCAAGTCACAACCACCACATAAAGGAGATACTATTATTCATCCCCATCTTAACAAAACCGAGGCTCAGAGTGGTTAAGTAATTTGCCAAATATGTAACAATAAGTGTCAGGCCTGGGGGCTTCTAGAGCCTGCAGTCTCAACTGCTACCCAGAAACGTACCCAAAGTATACAGATGCCCCTCAACTTACGATGAGGTAGCATCCGATAATTCCATGGTAAGCTGAAATACAGAAGGGTCAAAAATGCATTAAGTGCACTAACCTACTGAACAACTGAATGCACTAACCTACTGATCTGTGAACAGTTTAGCCGAGCCTACCTTAGACATGCCCGCAACACTTACTTTAGCCTACACTTGGGCAAAACCATCTAACACAAAGCCTATTTATACTCATGCACTAACTCATGTAATTTACTGAATACTGTTCTAAAAATGAAACGCAGAATACATATGCTCTCTCATCATTGTAAAGTCAAAAAACTGTTAAGCTGAATCACTGTAAGTTGAGGCCATCTGTACTTATAAATCAAAGGAAAGTAGAAGTTTTATCCTTTAGAAAAAAGGCAGTCCTAAGATTTTGCTTTTGAAATGTCAAACTGTCACTCATTTCTCTACTTATTTTCTAATGCCTCTGACCTATGTCACCTTTAATATAAATCAGATCTCAACCAAAAGCACATCTAACATTTACACAGCTTTAATTATCCCAAGAGCCATGGACTTATAAGCTCATAAGCTCTGAGAAATATAATAAGAAAACAAGTGCCAAGAAATTGCTAATAAGCACTTCACAGTTCAGTGAGTTACATTAAAATTGAGAAGGTGTCCAAGATCTCTACCATTTAAATCCCAAAAGTGGAAGAAAATTCTAACTTCGGTAGCACAGGCAGGCACTTTTGCCCCTCTCTGTCCCCTATTTAAATTCCTTTAGCCCTATCCCAAAAGGAGTGTTATGGGCTGAAGTGCATCTCCCTAAAATTCCTATGTTGAGGTCCTGACCTCCAGTACCTGAGAATGTGACTCTATTTGGAGACAGGGTCTTTAATAAAATGAAGTCATTAGGGTGGGACCCTACTCCAGTCTCACAGGGGTCCCTGTAAGAAATTAGGACACAGACCTGTACAGAGAGACAATAGAGTGAGGCCCAGGGACATGAGCCAGGAGAGAGGCCTTGGGGAAAACTGACCCTGCCAACATCTTCACCTCAGACTCTACAACTGTGAGAAAATAAATTTCCTTTGTTTAAGCCACCCGGTCTGTGGCAGGCCCAGCAAACAAATATAGAGAACAAAAACCACAGGGAAATTGGGGTCCTAATGATGGAATGGAAACAGCACACAATTTGGAAATCATCAGAGTTTTGGTTCAAAGTAAGTTTGCAACTTATTTATTGTAGACAATTTACTGAACTCTAATTTTAGCTTTCCAACCTACAAGCTGAAAAAATAAGGATGCCGGTATCAGAATTAAATAAGAATATATATGAAATAAAAACAGTAAATCTAATAAGATCTACCATGCACTGTTGCCTACTACGTGCTGGGCACCATCTACATATCAACAGCTCTACAGTTTTATGCCACTCTTCGTTAGAAATTACTGTCACAGGGGCCGGGGATTTAGCTCAGTGGTTCCAGTGCCTGCCTTGCAAGTTCAAGGTCCTGAGTTTGATCCCCGGTACCACCCCAAAAAAGAAATTACTGTCACAGCTTTACAAGTAAGGAAATGACAGCAGAAATGTGGTCAGAGATCAGGGTGAAGAATGCACCCCCAGCTGCCCTTTTTCTAAAGCCTTCACTATTTCCAGCTGCCAAGCTACTTCCAGGACATGTGATCACAATGCAATGATACTAATGTGTTTATTAACTAATGAGTATCTGCAACACCATTCATCCCTGAGTGGATCACTGACAAAACAGATAAGGGTGCCAGACTGCAGTATTCCTCAGCCACCATGGACATGAAGACAAATGCAAATGAAAAAAATCTGGACTCATCCTCTTAAAAAGATTCAGACATAAAAGGAAGCAAAATCCATCGAACTGTAAGCTCCTGAGAGGACAACAAACTTTTAATATTCCTACCCCAGGAAGGGTCCAGCAGCCCAACAAGTAAGGTAAACATTCCTATCTAAACACGGAAATGAAGGCTTACCAGGAGTCCCGTCCAGGGCAGCCTTCGCACCGGCCAAGGTCAAGAGGCCCCCTTCTTTAAGGTGTTTGGTGGCCAGGTGGCTGGAGATGGTGGACGTCCACATGCTTTGTTTCCACATCATGTCACAGGCTTTGAAAAGAGCTGAACAGAAAGAAGAATATGTGGGCTCAACATTCCCAAAGAAGCTGAAAAGCGCTCGGCACATGCAACCCACACTGGGGAAGCCCTCCCAGCCTCTTCCAGTCCCCATCCGTCTACAAGGTCCAGTGCAAAATGCTCAGGCTCAGTGGCCAGAGACACAGGTTCAAGCTCAGCCTGTGTGATCACCACGTCTCAGCTGTCTCACCTGTAAACTGGTAAAATTTCAGCCAATAAATTTTAGCAAATAAATCCAGAGTTAACAGATTTGCTGGACTGGCATTAATTCAAAGGCTATTTACCTTTTGAAGGGCATCAGATTTATAATCAGAATCTATATGCCTATGTCAGCTTTTATCCATGATAAAAATTCAAGAAACTATTACCACATGGCCATAAAGAGGGCTTTTACAGAGCTATATTTTTTACGGCTGAAACATTAATGCCAGCTTTAAAAATCCTTTAAAAGAGCTGAAATAACAAACACTAGTTTTTACCAGAGAGACGGGAGGAACAAGTGGTAACATATGTCACACTACCAACCAGGCAACTTACAGGACACGTGAAGCCCCATGATCCAGAAAGAAACCCCTCCTGATATGGCAGGAGTGGTCAGTAAATGTGATCCAAGGTCCTGCACTTCCTTGCTAAAAAGGACTAGGAAAAAAACTGATAATCCACGTTTATCACTTCTTCCTCCCAAAATACACAAAAGGTAATCAAGCTATTTTACCAATGTGATCACCCCACAAAATACCGATCTGACATTTAAATGTGGCTCACAGAATTTTAACTACTCTTTAAATGACATTAGTTAATAAATGTGAAAAGAATGATGAAATTACAAAACTACTATCTTCCAATCTGCTGACAGGATAACTGCTTCAGGTAGGGATTATGGAGGGATGCTTAAAACCTTTAGGTGAAAAGGATTAGAACAGGATATTCACACATAGTACCCAAGTGCCATTCCACACAACACTCACTTACTCATCACAAACAGGAAAATGACCCCCTACAGTAGAAAAGTCTGGCAGTTACCACCTTAACCAAGCATCAAATTCGGCATCTATCATGTTGGCCTTCCAATGTGACGTAATATGAGAATGTGACATCGCTCAGAAAGAATTATCACCTCTAAAACGTTTAACCTGAATGAAGATCTGAACCTAACTTCCTGTTCACAGGAACTACCAGGGATAGAGGAACATGTCAAATGATCCCTTACAGAAGCAGTCAGATGAGTTTAGAACTCAGAATATTCTATATGGAATCTGCCTTAGACTTGCCAGAAAGTCTGGGGGGGCAGGTAGTTCTCGATTATGTCTAAAAACGATACAATGCAATTTGACATTATTAAATTTCTAGAATTACTGTTAACTTTCTTATGTACAATGATAATACAGCAGAACAGGCTTTTTCTTTGCAGATTCATGCTGAAAAAAGGTAAAGTGTCAGCTCACTTTCACATGGGTAACAAAATCACACTAAGTGCACAAGCAGAAGAAAGCCACAGTGTGCAAGTGTGGTGAATGCTAACAACTACTGACTTTAAATAGAGGTTATTGGAGTGTTCACTGGATTGTTCTTTCAACTTTTCTGTATGATTGAAAATGTTCTTTATAGAAAATCGAAAAATGTAATCAGGTTTCATAAAAGCTCATTTCTGAATTCTTTCAAACTTAGAATAATCTCTCCAGCACATGCACATACCCTATTTCCTGAATACAATAAGCCCTGTAAAGTTAGCACAGAAACACTGCTGCTTCCATTCTGCCTCTAGTTTGAACTTCAAACTCAATGTTCCCTGCCCCTCACCCCCTCTGTAGGAAGATTTTTCCTCATCTGTGAAAGAGATGTCAATCACTACCTCACAGTGTGCTATGGTCTCCATGTGTCCCCCACGTTCATGCATCCGAAGTTTAATTGCCGTGTAGCAGCATTCAGAAATGGGATGTTCAAAAGGTGATCGTGTCATGGGGCTTCTGCCCTCGGGAATGGACTAACTCCATTATTGCAGGAGTAGATTATTGATAAAAGGGTAAGTTCAGCCCTCTCCTGCCCCATCTCTCTCAGGCTCTCTTGCCCTTCTGCCCTTCTGCCCTTCGTCATGGGATTATGCAGCAAGAACACTGCCCCAGAGCCCCATACCTCCACGCTGGACTTACCAGCCTCCAAAACTGTCTAAGAAATAAATCTGTGCTCCTTATACATTACTTAGTCTCAGTATTCTGTTACATCAGCTCAAAGCAGACTGAGATGCAGAATTGTTATAAAAATTCTGGGAGACATTCAGCAAGACAGCTTGCTTGGCACCTGGCATACTTGATCCATGTCAACTGGGCAAAGAGCAGAGCAGAATGAATGATTAACAAGGAAAAGGACTCACACTTGGATCTGGCATTGCCCCCAGCCCATCCTCCAGCTACACAAAGAATTGCGTCCACCTTCTCTTCACCCAAGAGCTTTCCAACCTCAGCAGTCACCTTGAACGTAAGGAATAAAAAGATGCATAAATGAAAACTGAAACAGGCTGGCATCCTGCCAGATACCTCAGCTCCCTTTCCTCTTCTTTGAAGCCAGTTTACAGTACCTGTCAACTAACACAGAAAATTACAGGGAAGACTGATCTCTGATGAGCATTTTGGACAATAAAGCCCAACTACATTTTGATGTGATTTTCATATAGCAAATTAGAAGCTCCTTAAGAATATTCTAAAAGGTGGAGACATAAGCACCTCCTAAAATAAAAATTAATAAAGAAAAGGAAGAAAAGATTTTTAGAAAGTCATCTAGAGGGCCGGGGATTTAGCTCAGTGGTTCTGCTGCCTGCCTCGAAAGCGAAAGGACCCGAGTTCGACCCCTGGTACCAAAAAAAAAAAAAAAAAGTCATCTAGAGCTGCATGACCCACAGCTAACATTCGAGTTTATTCCTCTCCAAACCTTCTTTGCAAATCACAGAATCATAATCTGAGAAGAGGATCAATCCTACTCTGTCCCCAAAACCAAAACCCTTGCCCTTGTCTTTCCCCTCCCTTGCTGTGAAGATGGCACTGTCCAGGGTCTGCAAAGCCTCACCTTCCTCCAAAGGCAGATGTAAGGAGCTTTATCTCTCACCCAGACAAAAGTGATTAATGGGAAATGTTATCATTTTTGGTTCATCATTTCCCCTACTCCTACATCCTGCACACAATCTTCATGAAAGGACTACACATATTATGTGTGAATGCCAAAAAGGCTAGAAGAATAACGATAAATATGTGGAAGGATATTATCAATTTCATCAGCTGTCATACTGAGAGAAGAGCATCTGAGACAGTTCCCTCAAGACATCACCAAGCGTTTTCTCCTAAGTATCATTTTCATTCCATGCTTTGCCAACTACTTGGTCTGCTTGCTAATGTACCTGTTTCCCAGGCAACTAATGACCAAACAACAAACTGATTTCTTAGATGTCTACCATGCTTTCCAAAAGCAGTCCCACTCAGGAATCATTAGTTATTTACAAGGGGTCATCTCTCTCATTTCTGACACACGACTTCGGTGGCATCTGACAGACCTGTCCACCAAGATACAGACTGGCATCACCCAGCAGTACAGGATATCCTGGCTCTTCAGAGTGTGTTTCTATAACCATTCTCTGGGCACGAACCAATTCCAGGCTTTGTAAAAGAAAGCCTTGAGCTGTGCCATGTTGCTTACAAAACCTTATCTGCCTCCTCCCTTGTTGAGACATCATCTGAAACAACTGTGATTCACCAGGTGGACAAGGCTCTGGCAAAGCTTGTGACTGGCCAGATGAATGCTCAGGAAGTGAAATCAGTTTGCTATCTTTATGGCCTGAATTGTGCACATACTGCTGAAGACAGGTGTTGAGTCGGGCTGGGAGAATGTCCACAGATTTCCGGCAGCCTGAAAGAAACGGAGCTGTCTCTCTTGCTGCACGATGTGCCCCTTCTTTCCAGCAACTACCTTTGGACAAGACACTAGTGAAGTGAGCAGCAGATGGCACTGTCCTGCAGTCACGTAAGACAGCAGTGAGGGACCAAACAGCCCTTGTCAGCAGAGTCTGTGGCACCATGCTGTGTGGGAGTCACAGCAGCCAAGTGCCACAGGCTTCACACTTGCTGCCCTTGTGGGAACCACAGACGGTCCTCACAGCTCAAACTATAGCCTTTCCGGGCCGGCCCTAGTGGATGTCATCCCTGGTCCCTCATACTAAGTGGCAGCTGGCAGCAACTCTGCACTAAACTTCTACTCTGATGTGTTTCACTCGGGTCCTGTAAGGGGTTTTGCCCTAAGCGGGAATCATTTCACATAAGGTTCATCAACTGCCATGTTCTCTACAACTTTGTTGTTGCTAAAGAATTTCCAGCAGCTGAGAACAGTACTATATCGACTGGAACATTTTATATCCATGCCTGTATTTATTTCCATTCTTTCTGATGTGTTAATAGGAAATTTGGGGGGGGGTTTCTTGCCTTTTTCACTGGCATGGGCAAACTACCCCCTTTCTTTTTAAATTCCTTCGAATACTTTTTTTTAATCAGTGACTAATGTATGGAAACATTCTGAAGGAAGAGATAAAAAGCAAGTGTGGTTTGACCCCTTCCCTAGTGTTTTTAGCCTTCACCCCACATTTTCTTAATTTCTGGGCTGTCAGACGGCCCTGAAGGATCTTCAACTCTTCTCCATCTCCACTGTGTTGCAACAATCCAACTGTGACTGACAGAGCTGCCTCTTTTGGGCCACGAGTCAAACCCACAAGGTCCTGATCACTGCCCGGTGCAGGACACCCAGAGAGATCTGCACCAAGATAGGAAGTTGGATTAGCTTCTGTATATACATCTGGGACTTGCAATTCTGTAGTAACTTTCTATAAATTCACAAAGCACTGTTTCTAAACCCAAGTATAGACTGCCTAAAACCAGCTGAATGGAAAAAAAACTAAAACCTCATTAACTGCAACTCAAAAGAAAATGCAAAAGAAAAATTATAAGAAAATAAGAGAGTCAATGACAACATTCTGATAGAGTCCATGAGGGTTCATTTTAATGATCTCTGTTTGAAAATTTAAAGCACTGAAAATATAGTCATATCCTCTTGTTATAATTTACTAAAAGAACCACTGTGAGACAGGGCAGCATCCATGACTATTTCTCCGAACTGCCTGCGGTGACTTCTCCCACTGCACATTAAGCATCCTGTACCAATGGAAACCAATCTTCCTTCTCCCACACACCATACCCAGTGCGCCTTTTAAGAAGATGCCCCATCTCCCTTGGCTTCTACCTAGCCCTGATGTCTCTTCTGTTGACCTTCCTCCTATGACTCAAGTTGCCCCTCTTTCTGAAGTCATGTCCTGGTGTCCAGAGCCCAGATCCCTGATGCCATATCTGGACATGCACAGAATCAGGCTTAACCCAATAATTCTACTTTTTAGGGAAGCATGGCACCAGCAGCAACCATGCACCTATTTGACTCTTCCTTTTACAACTGTTTTACTTTTACAATAAAATTTAAATAAGACTATTTTATTTTTCTGTTTGTTTGTTTGGTACTGGGGATCAAACTCGGGACCTTGCACTTGCAAGGCAGGCTCCGGAACCACTGAGCTAAATCCCCAGCCCCAGTAAGACTATTTTAAATTCCCTTCCCTTAAATTTTGATTTCTGACCAAGAATCTTCTAGGGATTTAATACCTTTTTCACTTTTTATCTCCTGTCTCTAGTTGAATTTCCTCCCCAGGGGGCCCACTTTACAGGTGTCAGGATTGAATTTCCTCTTGTGGAGCTTTAAAACCCAAAACAGTATCATGTTGTCTTTCTAGGGACAGTGGGAGGGAGTAAGAATAGAAATTTTTAAACCTAAACTTATAATAACTAAGACAATTGTCAATCTTAGTCTTACAGTGCATTCTATAACCACGTGGACATCAGAGCCTACAGTTAACAGGAACTGGAGAATAGAGACCCCCACCTGGAAGGGATGCGGCTCTCCATGCCCAGACTGCCCTTCCATTTAATTCTAGCTTTTACTACCTTGTTCCCTTTGCATAGCCAGTAGGAGGACTGCCATCAAACGTCACTGGCCAGGTTCAAATCCCAACTATGCTACCTCTTACCTGTTTGACCTTGGGCAAATGCCAGGGTCTTTCTGTGCCTCAGTCTCCTTAATATTAAAAGGAAAATATTAGAAAGTTTGTTTTGAGGATGTTGTGGAGACTTGGTCCATTAATGTCAATAAAGCACTTCAGAATAGTGCCTGGCAACTAAGGAGGCCAAACTCATGAAGGCCAATGGTGCCAATTAAGTCTAGTAAACATCAGGAGGAAAAACACAGTCAGCCATCCATACCTGTGTGCGGCATGCCAAGGACTCAACCAACCTTGGATCAAAATATTCAGGGGAAAACTGCTTCTGTGCTAAACCTGTAGTTTTTTCTTGTCATTACTCCTAAACAATATATTTTTTTCCAAATTTCCCTCCATGAGCGCAAATGACCTTCATAATTAGAGAAACAATAATTAGAAAATAAAAAGCAGGTATCACCAGTGGAAAGCCATCCCTGGGCTCCCCTGCTACAACGGTTGGGTGATCTTTCTGGAATTACCTGGTCAGCCTGTTCAGTAAATGAGTCTGTCATCTTAACAACAACGCTAGCACTGGCCTCTTCGTTCTCCACCACATCGATGCTGGCAACCCACTGCAGTGAAGGAGAGAAATGTTTTGGTCCAGAGACAGTAAGATGCTAATCCTTAAAAGAGCCACATCCAAAATTGGGGGGGGGGGGGAGTTTTGCAGTTCAGGGGCTCAAGCTTGAGTATCCTTTACCCAAAAGGCACTTTTGGTAAAAGGGACCCAAAGTGAAGATTTTGCACGTTTTTTCTGTTTTGGAATATTTGCATATATATGAGATGTTCCGAGATGAGATGTGGCTGACTGTGTTTTTCCTTCTTCTTACTCTCCTCAGACCCAAACCTAAAGTAGAAATTCGCTTGCTTCACATATGAATGCCCACGGCCCGAAGGGAATTTTATACACCATTTTAATAATATTAATATCCTTTGTGCATGCAACAAACTTTCACGGTATGAAATCTTCCAGTTGGGGCATCAAGGGAACCCTCAGAAAGTTTTGGATTGGGAGCATTTTGGATTTTGGGTCTAGGGATGCACAACCTGCAAATGAAAACCCGCTAGATAAAGGAAGAGGCAGCTGACCTTTCACACACCTTTCAAGGACGTGACTCTGGCCAGCCTGCCCCACCTGCACCTCATCCCAGCCCATCCAGCCTCCAAACACCTCCCTTCCTCCTCTGTGCTCCACTCACAAGGGCAAACTTTCTACTTCCAGAGACATCAGGAGTCAGCAAATCTTCTGCAAAAGCCAAGAAATATTGTTTAAGGCTTTGCTGGCCATAAGGTCAAGTACTCAACTCTGCTATTATAGCAGGAGAGCATAGCTACAGAGCATAGGGACATGAAAAATCACAGCTGTAATCCAGTACATCTTCAGTTGAGGAAATACAAATTTCCTGAAATTTCCATGTCACAGAGTATTTTTTGAAAGGTTTGGACTGTACCCTAGTAGTCGAACCTTGCCTAGCATGCTCAATATCCTGAGTTGGATCGCCAGTACCACAACACACACACACACACACACAAACAGGACTCCTGATTTTTTTTGAAAATGTAAAGCCCAGCTGGGTAAGGTGGCTCATGCCTGCAATCTCAGCACTCCAGGAGACTGAGGCAGGAAGACTGAATGTTCAAGCCTAGCCTGGACAACTTAGGAACTTAGCAAGACCCTGTCTGAAAACAAAGAAAAATAAAAAAGATGTAGCTCAGCGCAAAGACTGGGATCAATTCTCAGTACCACAAATATAAAAAAAATAAAAAACCTTCTTAGCTGTGGGGCTGTACAGGTGGCTGACTGGATTCCACAATGGAAGACCAAATGTAGAGGATTCTTGCCCTATCGCAGAGAGGGATGAGCTTTGGGTTTGGGACTCTCTTTCTGATCTCCTACCCGGGCTACTGCTGCTGCTGCTGCTCCTACCTAAATTCCCAGGAAGGTGCCTCCGACTCCAAGATGGACTTTAAACTAAATGACAGCGACAGAGAAGACCCACGCGCTGAGCCTCTGAATAGCTGGGGGGCTGGGATCAAAGGTTCCAGGGCTCCAATCAGATCTGCTCCTACCTGCTGCCCTCTGCGAGGGGGCACCTGACTGTGCAAAGCAGGGGAAATATTCTTTGCAATGAGCCTGTCAGCTGCCACGGGCCTGAGCCTTCGAACTGTCAGGTCCAATGGGCCATAGAAAGGAGGAGTAAAAGCAACACCAATGACAGGTAGCACTTGAGCAGGGTCTGCTGCCTGTGTCGTGTAATTAATGTGCCTTCAGCGACACCGATTATCCCGTTTAATCCCTATTTTACTGATGGGGAAAGTGAGGCTGGAAGGCTTTGGGTAATCAATTTAGTTATGAGACTACTAAGCTGAAACAGGCAGCCTCATTCTCGAGGTTTCCTTCTAGTCCTCGCCACCAGTTCGGTCGCCCGGGCTGCTCTTCCTTCCCCTGGAGTCCAGCCGAACTTGGGGGCCTGGAGGAAGCTAGGGAGCCCCGCGGCGGCCAGTCTCCCCGCAGAGCACCCACGCCCCGGCGTGCACAAGTCCACCCTGCCCCCTTCAGGTCGCCCCCGCGGCTGCACCGGGAGCCCCGGGCCCCGATCTCCACGCCCGACTTCCAGCCGGAGATCCCGCAGCCCCGCACATTACCCAGTTGCGGGCCCGGAAGGCCTGCACGCATCGCGAGCCCAGCGCGCCCCTGCCGCCGTACACCAGCACCCGGCGCGCCTCGCCAGCCGCCGCCGCCGCCGCCGCCGCCGCCATGCTGCAAGTCCCGCCGGTCTCCCGCCGCTCCAAGGTCAGAGGCCACTGCGGCCTTCGCACCCCGCGCCGCGCTGAGCAGGTAATGCGGCCCGGGGGGCGTGGTTCTGCGGCGCCCCGCCCCTCCCGCCCCACGGCCAATGGGGCCGATCGCCCTGGGCGTGGGGGCGGTGCCCTAAGTGAGCAGAGCGCGCGTGCGCAAGTGCGGGTGGTCCGTGCGCTGGGCGAAGCATCCAATATAGGTCTTTTTCCTGTAAATAAGACTGCTGATGCTCCCTGAACCCAGTGTTTACTCCCTGTGTGTCCTAGGCAACTTCCTTAACTGCTCCGTGCCTCAGTTTCCTTGCTGATAAAACAGGACTAATAGTGAACCCCTACGGTTTTGGGAAAGATGGTAAAAGGTGACACTAGGGTACTGACAGCAGTGTTTGCCTAAGTCATGCGAGCTCAACCCCAATTGATCATCATTAATGTTACGGATTTTATCACTTTTCTAACTCAGAATTCACTGCGCTTCTTAGAGGTTTAGAGTTCCAGGCCTCTTCCATTTTACCAGGTGGGGCAGAATTAAACATCTGTTTGGGGATATATTTTAAAGTATTGCCAGACACTGATATAAAATTTATAGCGTACTATATTTTAAATGTTTACACGTGATAAACTAATGCCCTTAAAACAAAATGTGCCACGGAGAATTATTATGACTTCTAAAAAATATCAGTATGTATGACACCACGGGCTTTGGCCTGGTGAGGACACAAGTTTAGTCCTGTTGTCATTGGACTTTTGTGACCACAGGGTAAGTAAGCCCTCACTTGCCAAGAAGATCCAAAATCCACTTCCGAGGCCAAACCAAATGATGACATTCATCCCCAGCCACAGATGCAGCAGGAGGTTTCTCAACTGCAGTACTATGACACTTGGGCCCAGGTGATGGTGGCGGTGCTGTGCTATGCAGGGTAGGATATTCGCAGCATTCTGGGCCTCTACACACTAGATGCCAGTACCCGGCCTCGCCCCGCCCCCAGTTGGAACAAGCAAAAATATCTATAAATATCGCCAGATTTCCCCTGATGGGCAAAATCACCTTTGGTTGAGAACCAGCGCCCTGATACTTTATAATCTTCTTGCTAACGGGACCCTGTTTAAACCTCTCTGCACCTCCCACCCACACACGGAGCCTCCTACCCAGCCATAGATACTTATGCCAGATAAGACACACAGACATATGTCCTTAGAGAACAGAATGCAGCCAGCAGCACGTTTTATTAGACCTGCTGGAAAAGATAGAGCTCACTTTTATTTTTTTTCTTAGATTTTCAAATCATTAGTATATTTTCTTTAATGTTTTATAATTTTTATAACTTTAATTTTTAAAAAATTTTATTGCTGCATAATATACTGTTTGCAGTACATACTGATTACATTCATTTTGGGGAATTGGCACATGTAATAAAATATCTCAATTCTTTTCCCCTTCTCCTCCACCCCCGTTTTTGTTTTTATCATTTTTACCAGCATCAGATTTATTTATTTATTTATGTCTTCATTAAGTTAATTATCACAAACAGATTAACAGCCATACTAACAGGCCAACAAATATATAACGCACATAAAACAATTATGCTAAACCCAGCTATACTTTTAGATACATTGGCTGTGCTGGATTATAGTAACTTTATTCTCAGATCTTCACTTTTGGAAGAAACAAATACCTCAGCAGTGTGACTCCTACTTTCTAATATACTTTTCTGGCTCATTTCAGATGACATGGAAGGTGTCAGAAGCTCCATTATCAGAAATAGAATTGCTAGCAGACTGGATAGGGAAGACAGCCCCATTTATTTAGTGCCTTCCACATGGCTGGCCCTGTGCTAAGGGAACTCTGTATGCTGATTCACTTTACTCCAGACAAACATCCCATGATAGATTAGAAAACTAAGGCATGAAGCTGGATGTGGTGGCACATGCCTGTAATCCCAGCACTCTGGAAAGCTGAGCAGGAGTTTAGCCCAGCCTGGGCAATTTAACTACTTAGCAAGACCCTGTCTCAAAACAAAAGAATAAAAAGACTAGAGACGTAGCCAGTGTGAAGTCCTTGGACTAAAGAGAGAAAAGAAAAAAGAAATCCGAGGCATGAGAATCTCAGGCACTTGTCCCAAAGAGCAGGTATTTCAACCCAGGTCCTCAATACTTTGTGTTCCACCTAAATACACCTCCAATCAGCCTGACAAGGGCTTGTCCCACGGACTGTTTCTGAAAATAATTCCTTAACCCCTAAAACACCAAAAGTTGACACAGGTCTCTCATTTAGGGCAGAAATGTGACTCTAAACTATTACACACATCCTGCCTTGTAACAGCATGTTTAATGTTAAAATAAGAACGTTAGCTCACGTTGTTAATGGTTTATTAATGTGCCTACTCAGTCTTCTAAGCCTTTTATATGTATCACATGACTTATTATCCAAATAACATTTACTATTTCAAGGTCATTGTGATGAAAAGCAGCTGTTGTACTATTTCAAAGCCTGAATTCCAGCCCCAGCGCTGACTTCCATTTCGCCCCTGAGAAAAATGACTGGAACAGCGCCTCCTGTCGACCACAAAGGGTTGCTGTAACATCACGCAAGATGGGGCGTGTGGTAAAAGCCCTCTGCACCAGGTAAAGCTCCACACAAGCTTCAGAGACATTGATCTTTATTGTCTTTGTTTTCAGGCCACTGAAGTGAGTCCCCACCATAAGGAAGGAAACTGCCATTTCAATAACATGTCCTTGGCCCCTCAGCTCTCTCCAGGGGAGATTCCTGGGGTCCTACTAGTGAACAATGCCAACTTCCAGACCTCCCTCCAGACTCCAGTGATCAAATAAAAAATTTTATTGTGACATTTTTGCAAAACTTTGCCCCCCAAAGGTACCAGCAGAGTGGCTGTCACCACTTTTATGTGACATTAGATTGATATTTGGCAATACAACAAAAGTCAAAATTTTAAAAGCCACAGCATAAATAAGTTAGAAAGTAGGAAATAATTCACTCCTAGTGTCCACCAACTAAAAGGAAAAGATAAATCTTCCCTTTTAGAAAAGATAAATACCCCAGTATGATGACTACTGTTTATTGACAGGCTGTGTTTCATTTCAGATGACATGGAAGGTCAGGATGAGGTAGGAGAATGTTAAGTATCCATGAGATTCATGCTGTAATTTTACCCTCAGCAGATCCACTCAGTGACAAATCCATAAAGCCCCTATTATGAATTTCAATTGAAGTCTTAAGAATTGGGGTTATTTCACAGCCTTAACAGTTCTAGGGACTCTAAAAGCTGTGACATTTAGAGAAAGAAATGCCAAGGCACGCATCAAAGAGTCCGGCACTCAGTGCTGTCTGTTGTTGGCAATGAGCAAGTGCATCATTGCATTTTCCTTTACCTTCCATCATGTGCATTTCTTGAAACTGGTTAACACTGCTTTATCCTCGGGTCTACCTGGTTTCTATTGTTCATAACTCCCTGCATTATGAGGCCTACATGGGGTTGTTTAAATACTTGAGCAGAGGGACAATTAAACCCGATGCTGAAACTCTAGTCTAGTGGGAGGGATAGGGTTACTCCCTCACTCTGCTACACCGAGCTTGGCAAAGATCGTCCCTGCAAAGGCTTCCGGATGTGGGTGTAGTAAACATGGGCTGTGGAGGCAGGCGCTGAGGGAGGACGAAAAGATGGTCTCCAAGTCCTGAAATGTCGTGTTTAGAAGAGGTGCCGTGGAGCAGGGCATTGCTGAGTGTCCGGGAGATGCCAACCACCCCCGCTATTTCCCGGAGGCCCTGAGGATGACCTGTGCCCACTAGCATGCCTGGGTGGTTCAAAAAGGCGTGGTTTGGGCTGGCCTCTCTCCTCAGTCTCTCCTCCTTCCTCCTCCTCATCATTGCCCTGGCTGTGCCCCACTGGCTGAGTGGGAAAATCCTCTGTCAGACTGGAGTGGACCTGGTCAATGCCACGGACCCAGAGCTAGTCAAGTTCATCGGGGACATTTACTACGGGCTCTTCCGAGGGTGCAAGGTGCGGCAGTGCGGGCTCGGGAGCCGCCGGTCCCAATTCACAAGTGAGTACACTGGGGGCGTGGGAGCTGACTTCGACACTGATTGCTTTTGTATTGTAAGAGTGCTTATGTCTAAATATGGGATTCACAGCTGCCACAATCTAAGGCATAATGTCAAAGTCCATAGCTAGCACTAAAACTTTTTTAAAAAACAAAGACTTCCTTCTTTTTTTAAATAGAGGCATCTGGAAACATCAGAAATAGGGATCTGTATAGTTTTGCAGTTTACCGCTACTAATAATGCCTATTAAAGTATTAAGGGCTTACATGTGTTAGGCATTCCACTAATGGCCGCACACAGCTTGTCTCTTAAGCCTTACAACAAACTTACAAAGAAGGAAGGATTAATTTTCCCATTTGCAGAGCAGTACACTGAGGCTTGAGAGGTTATGTAATTTGCCTAAGGTCCCTCAGCCAGGAAACTACAGAACCAAATGCCAGACGCCAGGATCATGCCGTGTGACTGTGGTATTCGCAACCACAAGAACACTCAGGTGTAGACCGCTTGCAGAAATGAATCTTCAGAAGGGCCCGTAACTGCTTCCACGTCTGTGTCACCAAAAGTTTCATGGTCTGAGAAAAGCAAAGGAGCCCTGCCCCTAGGCGCTGGGCTCAGCCTACGGGGGTTGCAGTTCCTGCGGGTGCTTCCTAGCGCAGACCTGGGCACGGTACCTGGTGGACTCTTCTCCGGAACGTGAGTGGCGTCGGCCTTGGCCTGCGTTCAGTCTGGTTCAGAGCATTGGGATGTAAACAGAGCAGTCAGCAAAGGCAGAGGCAGGAATCCGAGCTGCCCTTAGGAAGGGTCTTCCTGGAAGGGGAAAAAAACAACCCTATATTCTCCAAGCCTTTATTTTTTTTTTCTCCAAGCTTTTAGAATCTTCGATCACTAGTGAGAACAGTGTCCCTGAAAACTAGAATTCATCGACACGATGCTGATGCAAGAGGATCAGGAATTTTATCTGTTACCTGATTTCTGTATCTCAGTGTTTAGAAATCTGGCCAGGGCACCTATCCTATTAAATGTATAAAGACAGAAAGCTGGAACCGTTGACAAAAGTAAGACAAATTGCCATCATTTACATACAGGAAGAAAATACATGTTTATTATGTTTATTCAAGAAAAACCCCAGGGCCCGGGGATTTAGCTCAGTGGTTTTGCTGCCTGCTGCACAAGCGCAAGGACTGGAGTTTGATCCCTGGTACCAAAAAAAAAGAAAAGAAAGAAAGAAAACCCCCGAGCATATTTATATTTACCCACCAATTAAATTGGATCCTGAATATTAGAAAAATAGCTCCACTCAAAACATGACCTAAAGTATGAAAACACCACATATAAGCAAAAAAAAATTTAAGAAAATGTCAAAAGGAGACCATGACCACATATGCAGTGCTTGATTCTAAACTGAATTCCCTGGCTGCAAAGGATGTCACTGAGACACTTGGGGAAGCTTGGCTGGGCGTGGGGGTATTGGGGCAGTCATGTGCCGGTGGTACCCTAAAGGTAAGACCCCTGGCATCCTCAGCTCACAGAAACTTCATGGTAAATGAGCACCTTCTGCTCCCGCTTTGGAGGAACTCCATGAATCTCCCTTCCCTCCCTGTCTCAGGCCACCCACTCCCCTGGGCTCCTCTACCATGCTCCAGTCCTTGAAGCATCAGAACTGTGGGACACACATCAAGGATGTCTTATTTCTAGCCCTGAGTAGGACAGTTTTCTGAGAACGTTTTGTTTCCTGCAGCCTTGGGGTGGTCCCACCTCGTGCACAGGACCTTGGAAGGGATCTTCTTTGGAAGTTCTCACAGGGTCCCTAGGGCCCATGTTCCTCCTGTGCTTAGATGGCATTACACCACAGCAATTAGGGGTCACTGTGTGTATTATTATGTTCCCCAGTGGCAATCTAGTTTCCATTAGATTTACAGCCTTTAATCCCAGCACAGCAGCTATGAGGTATTCAGAGTCCCCCACCTCTAACTTGGAGTCAGGATTCACCAAGATCTGCCACATACAGTTGATCTGTAGAAAAACATTCCTGTTTTCAGGGCGGTGTGATCTCAGCAGAGATAAGGATATAGAAGTGCTTTGTAAACTGTGGAGTGGGGAATTTTTATTGGGCCTCATTTACAAACAGTGTCTTTTCTCTTCTTCACAGAGGCCTCCCAAAGATCTGCCCAAAGGAATCAGTTCCCACATCAATCACAGGGAAAACCAAAGTGCTATTCATCACAAAGAGTTAAGGTCCCTCTTCCTGCCTAGACCTTTCAAAATAAAAGCAAATTAACCTGTCTGTTTGGGTGGCTGGAAATAGGAGTAGACAAACATTAAATTAGCAGTGTCTACACATTCATCTATTGTTGAGAATTTACAGGCCAGGTGCCATTAGGAAAATAGGGATGAACAAAGCAGACAAGTGCCTGCCTGCCGGAAGGAGAACTGGATGCAGACTAGGCATAAGGAATGTTCATCTCTCAAGCTGTCACCTGTGGCTTTGACTATGCTAGATGAAAGATCTTTATTATGCCCCTTTCACTGACAAAGAAATTGAAAATCAAAGAAATCAATTCTGTAAAATAAGTTCTGTAAAAGCACCTGACATGAAGGTGTGTTGCAGTTTTTAGTTCTAATTCCTTCCCTACTTCTATCCCATAAATATCCCTCCAGTGGCCAGGTCCTGGGTTTGACTTCCAATGCCATCCTGGGGCAAGAGGATTGCCAATCTTCTCTGGAATCAAGAACAAATAGATCATCTAAGTTTTAGATGCTGGTAGAATAGTTCACCAATTCTGGGATTCAAGGGAAGTGGCTCTAATGCATATGAAATAAGATTATTTATTCAAATTCAAAATAACACCTCCAGAATTCAAGCTACACTACGATTAAAATTTTAAGCCTTTATTTATCTAAGTTTTCTGAGTTTTCTATTATAAGCCTTATAGCAGGGCAGACAGCACTTACTGGCTGTGTGACCTTGGGTAGGCAGTGTAACTTCTCTGAGCTTCAGTTTCCTCATCTGTAAAAGTGAGAGAGGGTAGGGCTGGGGATGTAGCTCAGTGGCACCATGACTGCCTGGCAAGCACAAGGTCCTGAGTTCGATCCCTGGTACCAACAAAAAAGTGAGCAAGGGTAGCCATGAGCATTGAAAGAAAGAACATGTATTAAATGCCTGGCATACAGTCTGCACCCAATATAGGCAGCTGTGATCATTTGTGGCTGTGGATCGTCTGTGTTTATGGTGGTCATTTCCATCTGGAAACTTAACTTTCATTGTTAAGTCAGAGGCGCCTAAAACTCTTGGTAAGGGTACAAACATGAAAGGCCGGTGGGCAACAGCATTCTCGGGGCAGTTCTGTGTGACAAATGGAGAGTCACCCTCAAAAACAAATGGAAAGAATCAGTGCATTGAAACTCCCGAGGAAAGACTTGAATTTCTTAATAGTGATGTGTATAAAAAAATGAGATCTCAGTTCATCAGGAGATCCTGAGCCCAGCTCATGGCACATGAATGGGGCTGGGGGAAGGTAGATGAAATTTACCCTTTGCCAATGAAGAGTTTTTAAAACACACTTCATATCCTTCCTACTCTTGGAGCCTGAGTTAGGTACTGTATTTCCCTCTCCACATCATTCTATAAGCCCAAATTACTCTTTCTTTCCCTGTCCCCCAGCATTCTAATGTATTTCTCAATATTTTATTAAATCAAATCTGGGTATGGGTTCTCATCATCATGGGTACATGATAAGTTCTTTTTAAAAGATTCATCATGTAACGTGGTTGTACCTTTGTTTATTAACTCTACCTCTGTTGAGTTACATGTTGGTTTTTCTCCAATCTTTTGCTATTGTAATAAACATCCAATATATACACCCTTGAATACATGTAAGAATGTATTTGGAAAATGCATTCCTAGAAGTGAAATTGCTTTGATAAGATGTTGCCAAATTGCACTCTGACAAGGTTGTGGGAATTAATATACCCATAAGATTTGAGAATGCTCTTTCCCTAGACCATCATCAACATATATTAAACATTTTGGACTTTGCTAATCCCATAGGTGATTATTTTCTATTTAGGGAATTTGGTGAGGTTATTGTGCTAGTCGTGTGTTCAAAGAATTGCACGACCAAGGAAGGGAATAACAGGGCTGGGGATGTAGCTCAGTGTTGCAACACCTGCCCGGAAAACGTGAGGCCCTGAGTTCGATTCTCCGTACAAAAAAGGGGGGGATAACAAAAAATTAGGTAATTAGGTGTATGCTACTGTGTTTGGAATAATAATAGGCTGAGGGTTTGAAAAGAAGGGGGAGAAATCCAGCAGAGATGGGAATAGAGATGCCTCAGAAAGACAAACTCCGGGGAAGGAGCTCATCTTCCCAGGTACAGTTTCCAAGGCTGGTGAGATAACCATTTAGAGATAACAATAAATGGAAATACAGAAGTGGAAAGAAGTTTAATCAGAGCTAAGGACGTAAATGCAGAGTGCCTGGAAAGGACACCTTTCGGGAGAAGGACAAAAGCTTTACTTCTGAGGCTTGGAAGATACCACCCCTCACTGAACAAGAAAAGATAGGTGGGTGAGGCTAGGAGATAGGGAGGGATAGGGTGAGAGTAGAACCAGGGATACTCTGAGTCTTGGGCCAAGGGAGGGATAGGAACCCATGAGGGGCTGGTCCCTGGTGTCCAGTGCAGGGATGAGGTCAGGACCCACCAGATGGCCCCAGACTTCACCAGCAGACACTCAGCAGAAACCCTGGAGTAGCTGCAGAGGAGTGTGTATGCTTGGGAGTTCTTTGACTTCTGTTACTTTAAATTCTCCATTTATAATTACTGAAATTTTTTTTTTTTTTTTTTTTTGGTACCAGGGATCAAACTCAGGTCCTTGCACTGAGCTAAATCCCCGGCCCTGGCCTGAAATTCTTTATGCAAGATAATACATAAGATTATAATCCTATCTAGAGTTTGGAGTTGCCTTCCCCAAAGATAAGGGACTTAATATCTCCAAGCCATTGAACAAAAGGAACTTATAAGATCTCCCTCATGTCTTTATCCTGAGGATTGAATGAGATGATGGATGACAGAGCATGGCCCATGACTGTGCTCAGCAAAAGCTGACTACCTTCCACTCATATGCAGCCATGACTACTCCACTGTATTGTTGAAGAAACTGAAGCTTTGAGAATCCATGTGACTTTCCCAAGTCAGAGAGTAAAAGTAATAGCAATGTCCACCCACACTGCCATTTTTGAGAACTGACTCTCTCAGGAAATACAAGGAGTACTCTAGTATATTATTTTGTCTTCTTAGCTGGTGCTAATAGCAAATATAGATAAAAGAAATACCAATGAATATTTCACAAAATTATTCTGCCACATCCTATGGAAAACTAATTTGTTCATAAAGTATTATGCAGCATGAGAATTAAGTGTCCTTCATACTTGGGGACAATAATGTCAATCCTGCCAAGCCAGTGTCTGGGGTATGTGTGCATCAGTTCACATTAGACCCCAGAGCTGTAAGATCAATGCACTTTAAGTTGCAAGCTGGGGCACATTTTGGTCTTGTGTCCACTCCAAGGAGAAGGAGGTTGCTGGTCACCTGACAAGTGGCAACTCTAGAGGCCATGAGTTCATCTCAGAAAGTGTCTTGATTTGGGAAAACCCAGTGTTTCCCTTGCCCTCACCCTCCTCTACCAAAGCCTTCCTGGGAAGTGAGCTTGGGTTTTCTATGAAAATGAACTGAACTCTGACACTGAACCATGGGTTATGTCCTCTCTCCCCAGTCTTCCCACACCTGGTGAAGGAGCTCAACACCGGCCTTCATGTGACAATTCTGCTTCTCCTACTCCTGGCCTTGGCCCTGGCTCTGGTCAGCATGGGCTTTGCCATTCTCAACATGGTCCAGGTTCCTTATCGGGCAGTCAATGGCCCTGGGGGCATCTGTTTATGGAACATCCTGGCAGGTAAGAAATCTCCTAAGGAGAGAAATTCTTGTCCACACCAACACCAGGCTAAACTCAAACTAGTTGAGGAAAAAATACAAAGGTACTAAAATGTCTCCCTTGACCTTCACTTCCCAGGATCTAAGATCTCCTTGGCGAGCCCCAGTGTCCTCTTTACTAAAAGCTGAACGACCATATTGTTAGAGAATATGAATGGCTAAAGACAGTGAAGGGACGTCAGGGTGACAGGGAAAACAGGAGACAGAGATCTGGGGATGGGAGAGAAGTGAGGAGGTAGAGCTTCTGCTACAGCTGGAATTGGGGCGAGGGCTCCTCAAAGGACAGAAGAAAGCTACCTGTAAAAGGCTGCTTCATTGAAGCTCCCCATAGAGAAGGGAGAAATAAAGTGCCACTGAGTTGCCAATGGCTTCAGAATATTTAACATGCAAAAATGTTCGAGTGAAGGGAAAAATCAAAGTAAGAGCAACATAATACTAATTTTATTAAAGAGAAAAAATGTAAAAAATATACTGTACTAATGTGTTCAAACTGTTTATACCTGGCTTTTAGGATGAAGGTAAATTTGTATTTTCCATGCTCTCTAGTGTCCAAATATTCTTCAGTGAGGATGTAATAGTCTAAAAACAAGCATAATATTTAGGACATAATGCTACTTGAAATAAAACAGAAGCAAAAAAGCCTAATAAATGTGTTTTTAATATTAGTTTAATCAAAATAGGGAAGAGAAGGATACATCAGGAGACAAAGAGAGAAACCCATTCCTAAGAAGGTCAAAGTTTCAAATAAATGATAGGGAAATAAGTGAAGTTTGGAATTCCAGACTTTCCTCCTGTGGTTTTCCTCCTCTTAAGTCCTCCTGATATTCTTGGGTTTTTGTTTTTTGGGGGGTTTTGGTACCAGGAACTGAACTCAGGACCTTGGGCTTGTGAGGTAGACGTGGTCCCATAATCTAAATCACTGGCCCTCCTCCTGATATTCTTAATTATGGAAAGAACAAAATAAAAGAGGAAAGCAATGGTTTGGCCCAGGGTGTAATCTCAGTCTGCAAAGCATGATTTTCTTACCTCCCCCCAGCCAGCCCACATAGAAATCCTAGGATACTTAGAGACTGCACTTTCCTAAATGTGGATCTCCTAGAAAAGATGGTGTCTTAGTTACTTACTTTGTCGCTAAGACACAATACTCAATACCCACAACTTAAAGGAGGAAAGGTTTATCTGGACTCAACAGTTTGTAGAGGTTTCAGTCCATAGTCAGCTGGCTTTCAAGGCAGGGCGGCATGGCAAAGGGCATGGCAGGAGAGAAACAGCTCATGGCAGGGCAGAAGAAGGAGTGAGGGATCAAGGGAGGAGGAGGGACATATATACATATACACCCTTCTTGGCCATGCCCGCAGTGACTTACCTCTTCTCACCAGATTTCACCTCCCAACATCACACCCAGCTAAAGTCCACCAGTGGACTAATCCAGTGATGAGTATCACACACCCATGATCCAACCATCTCCCAAAAGCCCCACCTATGAGCACATGAGGTTTTGGGGGGACATCTAGATATAAATCATAACAGATGGCACTAAGGGGAAAAAGTCTAGAAGGATCAGTCAATCTGATACAAAGCTTATTCTTTTTTCCCCACACAACCCCAACTCTTGCCCCCACGCTGTGGGCTACCTGCTACTTTAAAAAACAAATTAAAATTTGTGCTGCCCTAATAATTCTTTAAACCCAAAGTGAGTACACGTGACACAGAAATGTCACCTCACAGAGTCCTTACAGCTGCAGAAAGGAGCGGTGAATCAAGGGGATCTTTTGGGTTTCAGGTGGAGTCGTGGCATTAGCCATCGCCAGCTTCATGGCCGCAGTGAAATTTCATGACCTGACAGAACGAATTGCCAACTTCCAGGAGAGATTCTTCCAGTTTGTTGTGGTAGAAGAGCACTACGAAGAGTCATTTTGGATCTGCGTGGCAAGCGCTTCGGCCCACGCTGCAAACTTGGTTGTGGTGGCCATCAGTCAGATTCCCCTCCCAGAGATCAAGACCAAAATAGAGGAGGCCACAGTTACGGCCGAGGACATCTTGTATTAATCACCTCCCACACCCGTTCCTGAATCAGTTCTATACGGTGAATGGGGTCCTCACTTCTTTGCAGCCTTCCTACTTTATGTTCTTGCGGTAAGGAGAACAATGTGGGAGGACCCAAGGGGTGGCTGGGCCAGAGAGGAAAAACCTCCCCCCAATCCCCAGCACACCTGCACTTCGCTCTCATGACGTTGGAGTTGGAGATTCGCTTGCCTGCTGTGTGTGACAGTGGACAGTTCACTTCATGACTACTTCTCGGTTTCCTCCGTAAAATGGGGATAGCTACAACTTTGCAAGTTTGTTGTGTGGTTTAAATGGGTGATGACGTTCAGAGCAAAACACTCTACAAATACAAGGGACTATATACAAGGTGTGATTGAAATGTATGGTGAATGGTTAAATTCTTTACAAATTACTTTAGTGAAAGACACATTGTCATTAGTTCCCCTACAAAATACTCCCCTTGTTTCCAACACACTTACCCATCATTCTTGGAACTTTCTGAGGCAGTTCTGGAAGTCCTCTTTCATGAGTGTCTTTATGAGATGTGATAAAAGAAAATATGGGGAATATTGCTGCTGAGTGCCACCCAATAAAAGGGAGAGACACAACATTACAGTGTGTCCTCATCTATCTTATGCTTCAGATTTGGCACCACAGGACTCCGCCTCTATCCCAAAGTCAACATAACCATGAAAGATTGATTCAGGACACTGAGGCAGCCACGTTTGTGCAACTAAAGACACTCTTGAAAGAAGACTTCCAGAACTGCTTCAGAAAGTGACAAGAATGATGGGATAAGAGTATTAGAAGTGAAAGAGTATTTTGAGAGAGATTAATCACAATGTCTTTTACTGTAATTTTTTAAAAAATTAATGTTCACTGTATTTTTCAATCATATCTTGTATACTCCGTAAATACATATCAATGGACTTTTGGCCTATTCTATACAGTAGGGAGATGAAAAGAGGAATGTGATGATATCTTCATATTTCCATATGACACAAGAATCAGGTAGCAACAATAACACTAAAAATGAAAATAACTACCTTTTTAAGTAGCTATGTACTGGACACTGTTCTAAGAGTTTTACACATGTTACCTTCTTAGCTCTTCACTGCAGACTCAGGTGGCTGGTACTATTTTACCTTCACTTGACAGCTGACAACACTAAGGTACAGCAAAGCTGGGAAGCTTGCTGAGAAAAGGAACTAAATCTAGGAAGTCTAGAAGCAGAAGCTATACTTAAAACCATGCTGCTAATCTATTCTTCAGTGTGCAAGTAATTGCAATGCCATGTGATAAAGGCTAAAATAGTATAGGCATAAAAGAAGGAATGAAATCTTCCGGATGGGATCCATGGTATTAAAGTATCATGGAGCTAACATTTGATCTGAACTGTGAAAGATGAGTAGACTTTTTCCAGTGGCAAGGAGAGGGCATTCCAGGCAGAGACAGTAAGGGGGGTAGGCACAAGGCACGAAATACTAAGGATGCATACTGGCACGTGAATGCTTAGTGGGATGAAAATGTTGCTCTGACTGTTGGAGAAACCCAGATGTTTCATGTTGAGTTTACTAATAAGTGCTGTGATGGCTAATTTTATATATCAGCTGGGTAAGGCCAGAGCACCCAGACATTTGGTTAGACATTAATCTGGATGTTCTTCTGAAGATGTTTTTTGATGAGATTAACATTTTAGTCTTACCTTCCATAATCTGAGTGGGCCACATCCAATCAGTTGAAATCCTTAATGGAAAAAAGATTGCCCTCCCTGGAAGGAGAGTGAATTCTGCTGGCACACTGTCTTTGGACTTGAACTGTAACCCTTTCCTAGGTCTCCAGCCTGCTGGCCCACCCTGCAAATTTTAGACTTGCCAGACTCCACAATTATGTGAGCCAGTCCCTAAAAATTAGCCTCTCTCTCTGTTTCCCTCTCTCTCTCATCCTCCTTCCATCCCTTTCCCTCTATTTCTTTCTCTCCTTGGTGTCTTCAGTGAATTGTTCCTAGGACCTTCCCCAATACCAAAGCCATGGATGATCAAATCTCCTATATAAAATAGCATAGTGTTTGCGTGTAACACTATGTACATCATCTTCCCATATAGTTTAAATCATCTCAAGATGACTTATAATACCTAAAACAATGTAAATGCTGTGTAAACAATTGCTATGCTGTATTGTTTATGGACTCATGACAAAGAAAATAATCTGTCCGTATTTGGTACAAACACACACACACACACACACACACAATTGTAGGACCTAACTACCTTTTTGATTCTTAGTTGAATCCATGAATGTAGAATCCAAGGATTTAGAGAGCTGACTGCCCACACACACACACACACACGCACGCACACACACAACTATTGTAGGACCTAACTACCTTTTTGATT